CGGAGGGAGGCCGGCGTCCTTCGGTGTCCCGTGAAACGCCCGGCTCGTCTCCGCCCCTCTCCCCGGTCCCCTTCGGGGCTGGCAGCCGAGGTTTCCGAACGTTGCCAGGACTCGGCTGGGGGGACGACCCACTCCCAATCCCACGAAAGACTAGAACCCCTCGGGTCACGTGGGTGTAACGGCCCCTCTTGGAAACTCGCCGAGACCAGGTAGGTTGCCAGTCTGGGTACTAGACAGCACCCAGCGGGCGTCTCAGGTGCATTGCTTGCGTGGCCCACTGCCCTTCGAGCCTCTTGGGAGCCCAGGAGCGCGCCTTTCCCAACTCCTACCGTGGACTAGGCATGCAACGGGTAAATGCCAGTTGTCACTGTTCTATTGTCCGTATCTTAATAACTTTTAAAAGAACATTCTTGTTCAGAAGTGGAGACGCTGGAGGAACAGGGAAAGCTGATTCTAAATCCTGCTTTTGTTTCTTCAGGTCCACCACTTTCATCATTTGTCGATTGAGAGTGTCGAACGCCAAGTGTTTTGGGGGATGGGAGGTGACGCATGGGGTGAGATAAGAAATAATAGCTGTTATCTCAACGTTCAGCAAATGCTGAGCGTCTGGCATTAGCTGTCAGCTTTTAAGAGCACAAAGACGGAATACCTACCTGCTCTTTAGGAGCAAAGCACAGAAGAGAAACAACACGTAATTAGGTAATTATTACACAGTACAGTTTGAGGAGTGCTACCTTATTAGAATGATCTGGGCAAGAATGATTAGCTGTGGTTGAGTGGGTGAGGAGTTTTCTGTAGGAGGTGGGAATGCATAAAGGAACTGTAAAGTGCTTGTTGAGCGAATAGGAGGGAAAGGAGAAAATCTCAAGCCTGTGGTAAAATTTGTCAGTGCTTTTCACTTAACTTGAAATACTCTGGAATGAGAGAAAGTAGGGTGGAGGGTAGGGTTGGGCAAGATGGATTGTAAAAAATAGATCAAAGTTTGATTTTGGAAGACCTTTGAAGGAATCAAGTTCCCCTGGGTATAGTGTTAAGCGTTGGGCTGCTAACCACCAGTTCTGAAGTTTGACCCCACCTGCCTCCCCAAGGAAGACATGGCTTTCCACTCCCATAAAGAGTTAAGTCCAGGAAGCTCTCAGGAGCAGTTCTGCTCTATTCCACACAGTTGCTATGAGCCTGGGTGGAGATATACTTAGGTAGTCTGGGGGAGGGGGGAGGGGTATCCCACTTTTATTTATAACTTTTCTCTCCCTCAATGTATAGATGTATTCTTACTCCCCATTCCAGCCCCCCTTTAGTATAATAATTTGATTCATGTTGTTTATGTTCTTAAGTTTTTGAGAATCATCAATATTGGTATGTGTAACTTAGATTGATGGGTGTATCATTCATGTAACTAATTCATTGATATTTTTGTATAGGGTTGAATCTTAATGGGCTTTGGAGTTTTAGATTTTGCTTCCTAGCTATTAGAAACAGTGTTACTAAAATCATCCTTGTATGTAACTCATGGGTGATGTGTGCAAAATTTTATCTACAGTAGCACTTTTAAAAGTGTCATCCCAGGATCCCTGGAGTTCAGGCGGCCTGTGACATCTTTCCTTATCCAGCCATATGATGCGCCCCCCTCCCCCACGAAAAAATAAGCTCTGCTGGGCTGGGCTTTAATAGTATACATTTTTCCCCTCTAGGCAAGCATTGAGCAACTGACTGAGTTAGTGCACCCAGTGGCTTCATCTGGGAAGGTTCTCTATAGTCACAGTGAATTTTTTCATAAAAATTTCACTGGAGGCTTGTTTTTTGTGATGTCCAGCTTAAGAGAACGGTGTGTCGCTGTGAGATTTTGTTTCCTGTTCAGGAAAAAGCCTCAGAAACTGGTGTGGTGTTGAACACAGCTTACAAGGACAGCACTATGGGAAAAACCCAAGTGAATGAGTGTTTTTTCTCATTTCAAAAAAGGTAAAATATTGATTGACAAGCCTCATTCTGGATGTCTGTCAACTTCCCTAAAGGATATACATGTCCACAAAATTCATGCACTTGTGCTTGAAGAACCACCGTGGACCACCGAAGAGATAGCGAAGTTATCTGGATGCTTGGTTCAGCGAATTTTAATGGAAGATTTGGGAAGGAGATGGGTCAATGTGAAATTTGTGCCTCGCATTCCTTGAGTGTAAACATGCTGTGCTTTGAAAGAACAGCTCCAAATCGACCCAGACTTTTTTCCGAGATCGTTACTAGTGACGAGACATGGTACTGTTCTTATTACCCCAAAAGTAAACATCAGTCAGTCAGTGGAAGAAGCCATCGTCACCTCACCCTAAAAAACTCATCAAGTGAAATCAAAGATCAAGATGATGCTCATTTGTTTTTTTGATGTGAGGGGGGATAGTGCGTTTGGAGTTTTTCCACCAGGTCATACTGTTAATCAAGCTTTCTGTTTAGAGCAGCGCTTCTCAACCTGTGGGCCACTACAACTTTGGGGGTCCGAATGACCCTTTCACAGGGGTAGCAAAATTACAGTTAGGAAGTAGCAATGAAAATAATTTTATGATTGGGGGTCACCACCGCATGAGGAACTGTATTAAAGGGTTGCAGCATTAGGAAAGTTGAGAACCACTGATTTAGAGGTTCTGAAAAGATTGGGTAACAGTGTGCAACAAAAAAGGCCTGGTTTGTGGCATACGGGACTGGTTTTGCCACCACGACAATGCACCTGCTCACGCAGCCATTTCAGTGCGAAGGTTTTTGGCAACAAAAAAAAAGATGCTTCTCTTTCCCTAGCACCTTACTCACTTGACCTCTCTCCCTGCAAGTTCTTTTTGTTTCCTCGAATGCCTAGACACATGAAAGGACAGCAATTTAATGAAGTAGAAGAGTTGAAGGAAAAAGGGAGGTGCTGTCTGCCATCCAAACAGATGAGCTTGAAAATGTTTCCAAGAATGGAATTGCCGATTTAACAAATGTATTACGTGTAATGGAGAGTGCTTTGAAAGCGAGAAGGTTGTTTTGTTTTGTTTTGTTTTGTTTTGTTTACAAAATTTAAATACATCGCTTTGGAGAGAAAAATTCTGGGGTTTTTTTCCCCCCTGAGATCCCCGTGTATATCTAGGGTACCAAGTAGTCTTTGTGCTTAGCAACCAGAGCAGGGTATCCTATGAAAATACTAATACCCACCTCAAAAGGGTTTTGTGAGAGTAGCCATGTACATAAAAGCAGATAGACACCAGCTGCCTTCTTAAGTCAGTGCTAAGGAGATTGGCAAAAATGTGCCAGTCATTTGAAAAATCGGGGTTGCTATATCTTTTATGAAAACTTATATTACCATTAACATGTTACAGATTTATTATTTTGAAAACCTAAATTTGCAACCTTAACATTAATATGGTAGGTTTTAAGGTGTAGACCTTTGGCAGCTTCAGTAGTCCTGTGTAAAGTGGTCCTGTGATAAATTTGAGAGATGGTTCTAGAAAGTAATTTCAAACTGTGGGTTGAACTTTGAGTTACAACTCAGTAGTTTATTATGCCATGTTTTTGGTGGTCCAATTATGTGATTTTTCAAAAAGGAAGAAGGAAAAGGGAAATAATTAAGAGTTCAGGTGAAAATACTGAAGAGTAAAATTTCGGGATTGTAGAGTATGTGCATTCAGCTTCAGTTGGCAATGCAAAATGGTGTGTTTTTGTTTTTAATATATTGTTTTTGGTGAATGTTTACACAACAAGTTAGGTTCACATTTCTGTACATACTGTTCAATGACTTTGGTTACGTTTTTCATACTGTAACAAGTCTCATTCTTTTCCTTTTAGTTGTACCGTTTGCATTAATGTAGCTTCCCTTTACCCACTAATAAGTCTCACCCACCGAACTTCTCATCTTTGAGTTAAGGTAAATGTTGACCAGTGGATCTTGTATAGGTGATTTGCTGAAAGGTAACCTCTAGGGGTGGTTTTATTTCATTTTATTAGGGCAGGATTCTAGAGGATTCCACAAGTGTGGCTTTTTAAAAGAATTTTAATTTTGTTCTGAGAATTTTCTTCTTTCCGTAGTCAGAACTATTGGTCAGGGTAGCCTGACAACATCTCATTTCTCTGGTCTCAGCATAGATGAGACTGGTTTGTGAAGCTGACCAGGCCTATAGACTAATTTCTTCTTTGAGTCTTTGGTGTACTTTTGGTGTCTTTTGTTCCAGGTGCGTAGAGACCAATAGTGGGATTGCTGAATAGGATATTTTCTAGCTTTTTCAAGAAGCACCATTCCACTGTGGTTATACCATTTTATACTCTCAGCAGCAGGAGTTGAAGGTTCCCTTCTCCCACAGCCTCACCAGCAGTAATTGTTTTCTGGTTGTTTTGCCCTTTAATATATCAGTACTGTTTTTGCATGGATAAGATGGCATTTCATTGTAGTTTTGATTTTTGTGTCTCTCGGAAACCCTCCATAGAGTCACTGTACTTTGTAATCACATGATTGGCAGTGTGCGTTCTTTAAGGAGCCTTAGTGGGAAAGATGAGGCTGCCTGCTTTTGTAAAGGCTTACAGTCATTGAAAACCCTATACGGGGTCACCATGTGTCAGAATCAGCTCGGTTTGCATGGGTTCCCGTTGTGTTTTGAATGGCTAATTATCTCAAAGTTTTTCTTTCTTTTTTTTTGTATTTGATGACTGGGTAAGTATCTGCTCAGGTCTTTTGCCCTTTTATTAATTAGGTTTTTGTCTTTTCGTTGGTAAATGTTGGCGTCTTCTATATCTTTTATAGATTAGCCCCTCATCCAATATCTTTTTCAAGATTTTAAAGAGATCATTTCATTTTATTCTATATCTTCTTTGTTATTGGTTGCCATCAAGTTGATTCTGACTCAGTGTCTGAAGAAATGGCGTAGGGTAATGTCTTACCTACTGCTACTCAAAGAAGAAGAAAAATCCAACTCCACATCTGCCCAGAGATAAGACCGCTGACACAACCGTCCCCCTCGACTGGGTACAGTTCTCTCTTCCCAGCCACACCTCTCTCTGGTTTTTAGACTCTCAGTCATAAGCCCCTGGTTATGGCAAGGCATCCAAGGGATTATAACACACTGTCGATAACCATGAGAAGAGTGGAAATTCTACAACACTTCATTGTGCTTACAAGGAACTTGTTCATGGATCAAGAGGCAGTTGTACAAACAGAAAAAGGGAGTACTGCATAGTTTAAAATCAGCAAAGGTGT